ATTGAAGCCACTTTTTATCCATAAATATCAGAATCCACAAATATTAAATGGAATAAAAAAGAAAGACTTACCAGTTGATTATTACTAAAATTCAACTGCTTGGATGCAGGTTTCAATATGGAATGATTATCTTGAAAAATTAGATAGACAGATGCGATTGCAAAATCACCACATTCTTTTGCTAATTGATAATATGCTAGTACATATCATAGATGAAAATATAAATTTAACGAACGTGATTGTACACTTTTTATCACTAAACACTACTGCACATTTATAGCCTTATGATGTAGGAATAATTAAATCTTTTAAAATCAGTAAGTTTTTTAATATTTTTATTAATTTAAAACAACAAAAAAATTTAAATCTAAATTATACTAATCATGTAATTTCTTAATAATTTAAGTACAATATCGAAAATTACTCATTAGAAATAGGATTGAGGCATATGAAATTTCATAAGAATTGAGAAAAGAGACCATTCTACTAAACATTTATGATGCTATTAATTTTAGCAAAAGTGCTTGGAATTCTGTAAGTCAGCATACAATTTTTAATTATTGGCAATATACAGGAATTCTTTCACAAGATGAAATGAATGATAATGAAATTGAGGATTATGATGATCAAGTAATTCGTGATAAAATAGAGATACAAGAGCTAATTTACTAACTTCCATATGATGATTTTATGGATGTAATAGATTTTCTTTATATTGATGACAAGTTAAAAGGTAGTGAAGGGTTAAGTGATAAAGAAATTGTATTAATGGTAAAATCTAAAAATAATGAACCAGAAATAGATCCTAATGAAGGACCTTTGGAAGTAATTTCAAACAAAGAAGCCTTAGGTCATTTGAATGATCTTGTTTTATTTTTTGAATATACATCAGAAACTTCTATTAATCCAGATGAATTGAATATCTTAAAGAAATTAAGATGCTGGGTATTGACATTACACATTAATAACACAAAGCAAACTACATTAGATAGTTTTATTCAATAACAAATAATATGTACAGATATAATAATAATATAATACATGTAAATACAATAATAGTATACCGATAATTCTGTGTACCGATACATTTTCTCAAAACAGGAGCATCGGTACATAGAGGTTCGACTGTATGTAGAATATTTCATTCTAAGCAATGATAGTGAATTGCAAAAATGGCAAACGGAATGAAATTTTGTGATTTGTTATTGATTAGTGAGAGTGAATGAGATGTCGAAGAATAAATTTAGAGAAAATATGAGTTTTCGCATTATATGGATGATAAATCGATCTTATCCATATAAATTAAATAAATTATTCTAGTCAGATGATCATTTAAATTGATCGTGTAAGCATAAATTCGTATGATTTTTTTTACAGCCAATCTGACAGCAAAATGGAGCAAAATGGGCTTCAAATATATATACGCTTCCGAAAGTCGGATCTTCCCACCCTCATCATTCCTTTCATATATACACATTCGTTTAAATACTTTAATTTAATACATATAGATATTATATAAATATGCATAAACATCAGCTTTTTACAATAGTGTCCTTTTTGTTATTCACTTGCCTCATTTCTATCCTAGCCGTAAAATCGCTTTCGGAACGACTATCACAAGTCGAATTTATGAAAAGTTTGTCTGATCAAGCTACTGATCAAAATTATTGCACGGTTGGCATCAAGAAAGTGATTATCTTCTCAATTGCTGTTTGAACATAGATTAATTTATTAAGTTTTAATATAGCCTTCAGGTATCATAAGTGATGCTTGTTGCAAATATGAGACGGTCGAGAAAATGAACGATGATTTATCTCCACGATTACGCGAATTGATTAAAACGGACTTTTTCAAATATTATAAGGTTAGCGATTGGGAATTGTGAATAACTTTTTTTATTGAGGTGAATTATTATTAATGGGTTTTCAACGACAGCTAAAACTATATAAAGAATGTCCATTTTGGTCAGAGTATGGACAATGTATAAATCAAGCATGCGCAGTTGAAACAACGGACGAAGTATGTATTTGTAAACATTCAGTCTATTGAATCTTATGGACTGACTAATTTGAACGGTATGCTTATGATATTAACAGACTGATGTACCCGAAATGTGGCGTAGTAATGTTCTCGGCGCATTACAAACTTCACAAGCTGGCACTGTAAGTATTAAGTCTATTCAATCTCTGTTATAGTAATTTATTTTTACATCTTAAAACTTTACTTTTTTCTTTAAGCTTTTCCAACCATTTATAAAATGTGAATACACTGATCAAGATTTTTGTGTCGTTGAAGACGAAACGGATTCTGGTAAATAGATAGAAACTTAAACTCTATCGTGTAAATTTCTTAACAGATGTAACAAATCTTTTTATGATTTTATAGAAGGCGTGTTTGTTAACCTTCTTGATAATCCCGAACGTTTTACCGGTTACGCTGGAACGTCAGCTGGTCGCGTTTGGAAATCTATATATGAGGAAAATTGTTTTAATGTTGTTTCTAGTATGGATCCTGCAAATAATAATCTTGCTTCAGTTCCGACTAGTAAAAATCATTTACCTGAGGATATGGCACAAAAAATTGACACGACTGATATTGAAGAAGTTTGTTTCGAAAAACGAGTTTATTATCGTTTGATATCCGGTAAAGTTATCTACACGTTGATTCGCTTTTATGAGTAAAAATAAATATTAAATGATTTACTTTTAGGTTTGCATTCTTCAATTTCTATCCATATTTGTGATGAATATTTAAATCAAACCACTGGTCAATGGGTAAATGTTTTGTAAATGTCATATGATTTAATATTTGATATTTATTTATATTTATTTAATACCTTTATTATTAAAAATTAGGGACCAAATCTCGAATGTTTCATCAATCGCATTGGCTCACATCCGGAACGTCTTCAAAATATATATTTTAGTTATGTGGTACTTCTGAGAGCCATATCAAAAGCCGCAGATTATCTAAATGGTTATGAGTTCTGTACTGGAGACAAAATTCAAGATTTACAAGTAAAAGCAATGGTTGGTGAACTTGTAAATAAAACAAGATCATGTCCAGAGACATTTGATGAAAAACAAATGTTTGCTTCTCCCGAGTCACGGTCATTAAAAGAGGAATTCAAAAATAGATTTAGGAATGTGTCGCGTATAATGGATTGTGTTGGATGTGATAAATGTCGATTATGGGGTAAATTACAAATTTCCGGACTTGGAACCGCTTTAAAAGTTCTATTTTCTTATGAAGACGAATTTTTCAAGTAAAGTATACTAACAATTGATTAATTCAAGTAAACCATTCATTATATTGATGCTAATATGATTAACTATACTTATTAGTCCAAAAGTCAACCCCAACTTACTGACACGTACAGAAATTGTCGCGCTTTTCAATACTTTTCATCGGTTTTCAGAAAGTTTGACGTCTATCGAACGATTCAGACAAATGTATCAAGAAAAGATCAACGAAGCAGCTAAATCCGAGGTTCAATCTATTTAAAATTATCTTATATATATATATTTAATTTAATTTAAATCTCATAAAATGAAAATTATAAAATTTTTAGATTGAATCCACGAAGAGCATCATAAATCAACTATTGGAGTCGTTACCTGAGAAATACATTGAAGCGATAATTTCAATTAAAGATTTATTATCTTCATACCTCATACAATTTAATCGATTAATTATACAGCAATTGGAGTATTGGGATATTCCAGTTCCAGTACTTTTAACATCATCAACCGCTTCATAATTTAGATATTTATTTATTTATTTTAAACCTTTAATTTGTCATTGCTTAAGTTAATTTTTTAGTTTCACGTGATTCACGTGAATTGATCAACTAATACAAATTAGTACTAGTCATGTACACTAGAAATAATAAACTCTCACGTTTTTAAACACACTTTAAAAACCGCAAAACATTTTTACTTTTTTTTTCCTTAGATCTGTTTATTTTTAACAGAAAAAAAATGTCAGTACTACAAACGGCATCGTCAGCCATAACGCCATTTTTTACCTCGTTAGCTTCAGGAGATGATACCATGTCAGGAGGGGGAACTGCACCAAATTCAAGTGGCTCCACAACATCGATTTTAGGTGGATTCAGTGGAATAGGAAATATTAATGTTAAGCCTTCACAGGTTAATGAAAGTTGTTTAGAATTCCTTTTTATGGAAATGGTAGATTTAATGTTTAGAACTACTGCTGATTCGGAAAATGATAAGGAAGCTGTTTATTATAAATTGGAGGTGCTGGGTTATCAAGTTGGACAAAGTTTAGTTGAAAAGTAAGGAATGATCAAACAATTTATGGATTAATTTGAGTGAATGTTAATTATCTGTTTAATTTCATATATAGGTTTACTAGAGACCGTCCTAGATTTGTCGATACTCTTGATGTTGTAAAATTCATTTGTAAAGATTTATGGACTATAATTTTTAAAAAACAAATTGATAATTTGAAAACTAACCATAGGGTAATTCTCTTATTGAATTATTAGGTACATAATTTTTGTTTTTTTTAAAAAAAAAAAAAATTATGTACCTAATATTTTAAAAAAAATATATATATCTCAAAATAAAAATATATATGAATATTTATATATCTATGTATTTTAGGGGGTTTATGTACTTCAAGATAATAATTTTAGATGGTTTCTTAGAATGTCAACTGAAGCTGGTGGTGAATCTGCAGCCAAGAAAGCAATTCCGGTAGCAAAAAATATTCATATTTCTTATTTTTCTTATTGTATTCAATTTGTTTATTAACTTTTATTTCTTTATTTAGTATCTTTGGTTTCCTTGTGGATTAATTAGAGGAGCTCTTGCTAATTTGGGAGTTGTTAGTGTGGTCATTGCTGAAACAACTTCTTTACCGCAATGTAAATTGTATTTTCGATGATAATGATGTATGTTTTATATTGGTTTTCAAACATTTAAATCTTTATCATTATTTATAGGTTCATTTCAAATCAAAATTGCAAAATCATAGAATTTAACTTAAATAATAGCCATTATACATAGGATTGGTTTGATTTGTGAAATATCATACTTGTGTTATTTGTTGCTTTTTTATTAATCTTTATTAAGATAATTCTAATTCCTTTTTCCTTTTTTTTTTTTTTTTTTTGGTTTTGTTTTTTTTTTTAAAAAAAAAAATAAAAATAAAATAAAATAATGTATAAATTTAAAATTTCTGTAGATCAATCAACCAAACATATTTATATTTATTAAAAATATTTTTTTTTTTTTTTTTTTTTTTTTTTTTTTTGATAGGATGAAATGGGAAACAATTATTCTTTAATTCCGTGTTTCTCAACATTAATTTTTTTTTTTTACCTTTGGAAAAAAAAATACAAATATTATTTTGTATTTTATTTATTTTAATGAAAAAAAAAAAGAAATCCATAATACGGGAATCGTAAAGCACTTATTGCAAAGCATTAAAATAGACAAAATATTAAAAGAATAGCAATATAGTGCAATTTCAACGTTTTAACCGCATCCGAGGATTTATTTAACTTCCTGTCACTATTTCGACCAATCGTCTAATACTATAACAATAGATCACAAAATTAAAATTAATATAATGATCAAAAGAGAACGTTCAAGAAAGAAAAAATTTTTTTCCTTAAATGTTCACCTTCTAGATCTTTTAGCATATTGGTTTTAATGTTTATGAAGATTTTTTTGACTTTTGATTTGACTTATTGAGAAGTGTTTTGTGAATATGCTAGAAAAGAAAAGGAAAAAAAAAAGTTATTACAAGAATAGAATTCACAAACATTTTTAAAAAAAGGATGTATCGATCTTATTTATATGACTTACCGGCAATACACCACCACCAGCAATTGTAGCCCGAATCAGTGTATCAAGTTCTTCGTCACCTCGAATTGCAAGCTGTAAATGACGAGGCGTAATTCTTTTCACTTTCAGATCTTTTGAAGCATTCCCTGCTAATTCGAGTACCTCGGCTGTAAGATATTCTAGAATTGCCGCTAAATAGACTCCTGCTTTGGCACCAACTCTAGCATTATTCAAAGTTCGTTTTTTCAAATAACGGTGAACACGACCAACTGGAAACTATTATACAAAAGCGAAAAAAAAAACGGGAATTAGATCATCGTGGCGCAGTAACAAATAATGGATGGATATAAAAATACATGGATAAAAATATTCTCTTCTTGACATAAAACAGGTGCACAGTAATAATGATGGGAATATATCATGTAAAATAAAATAAAAATATTGTTTTACCTGCAAGCCGGCCCTTTGTGATCTGGACACGACAGGAGGTCTCTCAGGTTTTTGTTGGTGGTTGGAGTTTTCAGCGTTTCCAGTATTTCCAGAAGCACCATTTTCAGTAGTTGGTGCGCCAAAGGGTGCTTTAGTGCCAGTTGCCTTATGTGAAAAAAGCAATAAGAAATTTGTTATTATTAGGAGTAAATTTATTATTTATTTGATCGAATAACTTGGTGTTTACATATTTAGTTAAATAAAATAGTACAAAGAAGAAAACAGAAACCAACGCGACTAAAGTTTCAAAAGATGAGTTTTTGACATTAAAAAACTAACTGAATATTAAATAAAAAAACGCGGTTTTTATCAAACTTTATAAAGAAAGTACTTTAAAAAATCATGAGAAATATCAAAAATGTACTTTATAATATGAACAAAGCCAAAACGTAAACTCACGAAATAAACTGCTTGTTCACGTGACCAACGGTAAAAATTGTTAAAAAACACCTACCATACTCAATAAACTATCTTTAAAAGAACTAAATATCTACAGAGAAGAATTGACTAGTGATTCGGTTTTAATACCACGAAAATTTAAAGGAAAAACTGAACGATTTTTTTCTTAACAAGGGAGATGTTATGTAAATGGCAAAAAAAAACAAGGGAGAAAAAAAAAAAATTTTTTTTTTGTGAATTGGAAAGTTTAGGATCAGAGTCAAATTATTTTAAGCATTAAAGTTTAATTTATATAAAATTTTGGATGTATTTTTTCCATTTTTGGGGTTCAGTTTCTGGTATTTTTGTCTATTATGGAAAGCTGTACTACGGATTTTCACTAATCCGATATTTACGATTTATAACTTGATTACGTACTACAAAAAAAATCAAATACCACCGTAAATCATTTTTATTGGTCTTGTTTAACCGCAGAAAGAAATGATATTATTAATCGTTGAACAAAGTGAGTTGTCATATGACAACACATCTTTGACCCATTCCGCAGTTTATCCCATAATAAAAGAAATTTAATAAATATTTTTTGGAAAATCCAAACTTTAATTTCATCTCTATAATCATCGAGTCAAATTCATGTATCACGAAAATTGTTTCTATAGATCACGTGAGCTCCGCATGTAGAGTATATATTTGGAGTGTCTTTAAGTTTCTTGTTTGACGATTTTTTTTTTAAAAAAAGTGTGAATTGAGATGGTTGGAGCTCCAAAATTCAATTAAACAGCGGGAAATTTGGGGAAATTAGGATTAAATACAATTAGTGTTTTTACGAGATTACACGTGACTTCAATTCAAATAGATTATCGCACGAAAATTTTAACACGCGTTCATATTGTTGACCGAACTTTCTTCGAGAAGATACTTATTCAATATCCAATATTCTTATTTGTAATTTTCAACATTATATACTGTTATCTATATATATATAGACCTTAAAGCTTATGTCAAATATGACTACCTCAGTAAAGGATAGACCAGACTTGACGTTTGGTTAGTAAAGAAACAGTTTTTCGCTTTTTTTTTTTGTTTTTTTTTTTTTTTTTTAAAAAAAAATTTTTCATGTGTGTCTTGAGGAGTTATAACTAATAAAAATATAAAGAAAATTATTGGTCTTATAAATAAATATATATATATATAGTCTAGAAATAATAACTATAAATATCAGTAAAGAAATATACATAAACAATAAATTTATCGTGTTACGTATTATATTATTTTTTAGATAACCAGCAAGGCGAACAAGGATTTTGTGCCTTTATCAGAGGGCTTCCGCAGGTAATATATATTATTGGGGTTTCTTGAACATCTTTGATTTACGTAATTAAATTATTATTGAATTTTAATAATAGAAATCGAATAACACTATACGATTATTCGAGAGAAGTAATGGGGTTGGTTACCTTTGACCCGTCATAATTAATCTTTTGAGAAATCGAAACTTGTATCAATAATCTTTTTGACTTTGAAATATAGGATTATTATAGTATTCATGGAGATGATGCTTTGTATGTCGCACGAGATTTTTATAAAACTTCCTCTGTGATTAAATACTTGGGCGGTACGCGATTCTTTCAATTATCTAGCTTTAAAAAAATAAATAAACAAATATTTATATATATTTTTAATTCTTTGTTCACATCAATTACAGGTGATATGAATAAGGGAATTCCTAGTTGCACGTTATCACGTTTGGCATGCGACACATTTTTACGTGATGCTTTATTAAATAAACAAATGAGAATTGAGATTTGGGTTCAAGGATTAAAGGGTCAATGGAAATTAGTTAAGAATGTATGTTGATGTCTCCTTTTTTTTTTGTCATCATATATTCTCTGACATTACAAGTTAATTATTATATATAGGCTTCTCCAGGAAATATTCAGGCATTTGAAGATCATTTATTCTCTGATGTTGAAATTTCAGCCTCCCCTATAGTATTATCAGTTAAATTAGGAATGCAAAAAGAACAAAAGATCGTTGGTGTTTCCTTTGCCGACACAACAATAAGAGAATTAGGTGTGTCAGAATTTATTGACAATGAATCGTTTTCAAATTTTGAGGTAATTTAGAAATTTTATTATTTTTTTTTAACACGAGAAAAAATAACAAAATAAAATTGATGTATTTTAATTTTTTATATTTAGTCTTTACTTATTCAACTTGGAGTGAAAGAATGTGTGATTCCCTTAGACGAAAAAGATTATGATTTATTAAAATTAAGGGATATCATTGAAAGATGTGATATTGTTATCACTGAACGCAAGAAAAGTAATTTATTTAGTTGTTTATTTAGAGATTTCGATTATGGATTGTAATTTATTGGACGTCTTAATCGAACAAAAAAATATTTTTTCCATTTTTGTTTTCAGGTGATTTTACAACCAAGGATATTGAACAAGACCTTAATCGCTTGCTGGGTGATGATATATCTGTGGTGACTCTTCGTAAGTTTCGCGATTTTATGAACAAATCGATATAATATTAAGATTAATTAATTCAATTTCTTAATTTCAGCCGAATTTGAGATGAAGCATGCTATGGCTTCCTGCGCAAGTCTTATTAAATATCTATCGGTAAGGGATTAACTTGAATTTACAATATTAAGTTTATTACGTTTTTACTTGTTAATTTACTATTTTACTATGTAATATAAAGCTTATGACCGATGAAAATAATCTTGGCCATTACATTTTGAGACATCATGATTTGTCACAATATATGAAATTAGATACTCCAGCTTTAAAAGCATTGAATTTGATGCCAAATACCCAAGAAGGTATACGAAAACATTAAGTAATTTTGGAATTAGTTCAAATTTCAAATTTCAAATTTTTATTTTTATTTTTATTATATTTATAACTTTAGTATCAAATAAGAACACGAGCTTATTTGGACTTTTGAATAAATGCAAGACTGCTCAGGGTACTAGACTGTTGCGTCAATGGTTGAAACAGCCATTAATGAATTTGAAAGAGATAGGTACGAGATACATCTTATCTATCTATAAGGGATTTTTATTTTATTATCACTATCTGCACACGATCGATCCTCTTGTTGTTGATAACGAGATCTTTTGTTCTCAATCTTACAGAACTAAGACAATCATTGGTAGAAATCTTGGTGGAGGATACGGAACTTAGACTATCTATACGGGTACGTTATTAATTAATTAAAAAACCATAACCTTATTAATAATCACGTAAATGATATTTATTTAGGAAGAACATTTGAAAAACGTTCCTGACCTTCATCGCTTAGCAAAACGATTCCAAAAGAGAATAGCATCGTTACAAGTTTGTTACTTTCTTTTTCATTTGAAGTAGTTTTTTTATTAAAATCAATAATTAATAATAAATTTACGACTAGGATGTTATACGCGTCTATCAAGTAGTATTAAAGCTTCCCAAGTTGATTGAAGCTTTAGAATTGTTTGATTCCATGAATGACTCTAACAAAGAACTTATTGATGAAATATATAATATAAAACTCAAAGTAAATATTTAGATGAATATCATTTGGTATTAACATTCGTGTAATTAATGTCAAACTTTATTTATAGGAACATTACGGTGAACTTGAAAAGTATCAAGAGATGGTTGAAACTACAATTGATTTGGAAGCCGCAGATCATCATCATTTTATGATTAAGGCTGATTTCAATCCGGAGTTAAAGGGTAAATAAATATATATTATAGAAATTTCGTGTACAATTGAAAATTTTTAAAGCGCATTACAATGAATTAGAAAGTATCATAATGATCATAATAATAATAAGCTGAAAATTATGTGAAAAATCATTTAATTTTTTATTTTTTAGGAATCCAAGATAAAATTAACAAAGTCAAAGAGGAAATGGATGAAGAATATGAAAAGGCAAGATCTTTTACAAATCTATCATTATTACAAGATGATTGGATATTAATATTATCTGTATATATAGGTTGGAAAGAATCTTGACATGGACAAAAAATTGCATCTTGAAAAACAAAATACTCATGGATATTGTTTTAGGATTACTCGAAATGTATTTATGATAAGGATATCTTTGCGAATTTTAGCTTGAAACATTGTGAATTTTAATTCATTGTTTTCTTCATTTAATATAATAGGATGCAACTTGTATCCGTGGAAAAAAACAATATCTTGAACTTGCTACGCAGCGTAATGGCGTATTTTTTACAACCACTAAATTAAGACAACTGAGTACATCGTATTTTGATAGTTTAGATATATATGAAAAGGAGCAAAGTTTATTAGTCAAAGAAGTCATTGATATAGCAGGTAAATAACTTAAATATTAGAATATTTACAAGTGATAAGAATAATTTGTGTATTTTAACATTTTTAATTTGATAGCATCTTATTGTCCTACTTTGGAAACTTTGAATGGATTATTGGCTCATCTTGATGTCATAGTTAGGTGTGTGTTAGTAAACGCAGACAGAGTTTCTTTTTTATTACTGATTAACATGCGCGTTTTGCCATCTATTTCAATAGTTTTGCACACGTTTCGGTTCACGCGCCAATACCATACGTTCGTCCCAAAATGTATAATAAAGGTATTTTAAAATTAAATCACTAATCACTATCTTTTTATGAGAAATGTATTAATCTGACACTTATTAACTGACACTTATTAATAGGTGTAGGAGATGTTGTATTGAAAAATGCACGTCATCCTTGTTTAGAAGTGCAAGATGATGTTTCATTTATACCAAATGATGTTAGCTTAATAAGAGGTAAGGATTTTTATTAATGTTAATATATATCGTTCTAAATCATATGCTAACTTTCAATTGGGATTGTAGGTCAACATGAATTTTTAATTATTACGGGACCAAATATGGGAGGAAAATCAACTTATATCCGCCAAGTACGTGACGTATGATATGATATTGATATTACTTTTTTTTTTTTCCTAATTTTTACTAATTTAATTTTTATATTTATTTTTGGATTGCGGCGGAATAGATTGGTGTTATCGCTTTGATGGCGCAAGTTGGTTGTTTTGTCCCTTGTACTGAAGCAAGTCTTTGTATATTTGATTGCGTTCTTGCAAGAGTTGGCGCCGGTGATAGTCAACTTAAGGGTGTCTCTACATTTATGGCGGAAATGTTGGAAACGGCAAATATTCTAAAGGTCAGTTATGTTCTAATTCTTGTTTGTATTCACTTCACGTTCATCAATCTCATTATTGATGCTTCGTAGACGGCAACCCCAAATTCTTTGATAATTATCGATGAACTTGGAAGAGGAACAAGCACTTATGATGGATTTGGTTTAGCTTGGGCAATTTCAGAGTTTGTTTCATTTTAATAATTTTTTACCGAAAAGTTTCGGACATCTTTTACGCGACCATTTATAATTAATTTGTATTTATTTCAAAGATATATTTCGACGCATATTCGATGTTTTTGTATGTTTGCGACGCATTTTCATGAATTAACAACATTGAGTGAAGAAGTTCCTTATGTATGTAATTTACACGTCACGGCACATATTGGGTCAAACTCTTCGGGTGGACGAGATATTACATTATTGTATAAAGTCAATGAAGGTTAGGAATTGCTTTTAAATATATTACAGTCTTTTAATGAAAAGAATGGAGAGTTTGATCATCTTTCCTTATTACATTAAGGTGTTTGTGATGAAAGTTTTGGTATTCATGTTGCGGAATTGGCAAATTTTCCTGATACCGTTGTTAAGGTATTTAAATTTAATGTTTTGTTTAGTAATATATATTTGCATAAACATAATAAACATTTTATTTCTATCAAAAAATAATAGCTTGCAAGAAGAAAAGAGAAGCAACTGGAAGAGGTTACCAAACGTAAATTTTTCATAAATTTTTATAATATTAGATTAATACGTCTATCACATTAAAATTATTTATTTATTATATATAAATAGACGAAGAAAAGGACGATAAAGAAAAATTCTCTAAAGAAGTTATCGAGGTAATGATAATCATTCTTAAATAGCTTATTTGAAAATTTCCTAAATAAGTTATTTTGCTATTATTTATAGAAAGGAAGTACTATTATTGAAGAATTTTTTAAAGAAATAGCAAATACTCCTGATATAGATTTCATGGATTATAAATCAATATTGGAACGTATTTCTACGGTTAAAAACCAATATCAAGAAAAAATCGAGAATAATTCGTGGTGTCAGGAGGTTATCTCCAGATTTTGAGCCTTAGAAACCTGGTTTTTATTTTAATACCTAAATAATATTATTGGTAGTTCCAAAATATTATTATGTTCGACAAAACCTAATAGCTGCGCCTCTTCTCCCTTGGCTCGCGTTCAAAATAGCTGATTAATAAATATAATTCGTTAGAAACCTTTCTTCTGTTAAAAAAAATTATGTTCAAGTGTGATTTTACCGTTTTTTCTGGGTAATCTTTCTCCATAAAAATGATCCTCCTTAAATTCTGCAACTCCTTTGGCAATTGGAGTTGACTTATCAAAATTAGGATCTTGCAAAGCAACAACGGTGAAAGGTCTTTTGGGATAGAACAATAAATGAATTATGCAAATAAATTACTCGGAATATCTAAAATTTGTAACTTACCCTGTGTTAGGTTGTTTCCTAGATTTTTCCTTTTTACTTTGTAGTTCAGTTTTGCTCATTTTAGACTTTATTTGCATAGGTTCCTCCGGTTGTTTTCTGACAACAAAGTAAATATTTCAGTTAATCTAGCTAAACTTAGTTTTACTATCATCCGTTCAAAATTTTTCGAACCTTTTTTTTTTAACTTTATCATCATTCGGTAAATCTTTTAATAACTCTGTGGGCAAGAATCTTGGTAAACCTTCTTCATTTATTTTTTTTATAATATTATCAATTTCTTCTTTAGAATCTCTGGGATCAGTTGATTTCTCTAATTTAGCCGCTTTACGACTTTTTTGTTCTTTTAATTTAGCATCAATTTCACGACGTTTTCGTTTCTTAATTTCCAATGACCTTAAATAATTATTTTAATAAATTAAAATTGAGTTTCAAAATAAAAGGATAGAATGTAGAAATAATGACACACTTTTGTTGCACTTCACGCTCTTTCTTTTTGATATCCAATGCTTGAATTCTGCTAGTTGACATAGAAATTGTCTCAGGGGCTTCATCACCGGAGTCAGTCTGTGAAGTAGTTTGTTCTACCACGTTGTTTGTTTCAGAAGGTACACTTTTCTTTGAATCTACCTGAGCTTTGCTTGTCTCTAAGTTTCCCTGAATATTTTCAGCTATATTGTCTACAGGGTCTCGCAATTCATTATCATTCGTTTCATTCTTCTCTAAAGTTGCTGATTCATTTTTATCCTCGGTCTCATTAATTGGCTGACTTTCTTCAGCTGTATCATTAATACATTGATTTTGACTATTTGTTTCGATGGACTTTGATTTATCAATATCGTTTGGTTTTAATGTTTCAATTGATGAATCTTTACTTAAAGAAACAATTTCATCGATTCCTGGAGTTATTTTACTATTTTCAGGAATCTGAATGTTTTGATCAGCGGCAGATGAATGCTCAGTATCAGTATCATCTTTTGATTCTGTTTTCTTTGAACCTTTTACAACTGATGATTTAGGTTTTGAATTCTTTGAAGAGTTCACATTTTTCTTCGCCTTCGATTTTGAAGGTTTATTGGAAGGAGTTGAAAGTTGTTGCTCGGGTGTTGTATCGGATTGTAAATTACTATTATCAAAATTCTTTTTACTTGAACGTAAACGATATGCAATGGGCATGTTCTTTAGCTGATACAAATAAAATAATACAAATTGGTTTTATGAAAATTTTTTTTTTCGATTTTCGAGAATGAATTAATTTTTTTTGAAAAGTAATGCGATTGGGCGATAAATTTACATTTTTTTACTGCGAATTGATATATACCGTGGCTCACAAAAAAAAAGCATCACCCGGGCAAAAAAATTTTACTTTTATTTTTAGTTATTGTACGACAATAAATTTTTTTTTATTTATATTTATATTACCAAACTAAAGCAATTCAATATAAAAATTTAATATATTGATTCAAATATCAATACTGCGTATCAAATATTTATCTAAAAAATATTAATTATTACAAATTAATCAAATTTATTAATATTTACCACTAATTTAATTACCAAGGGCTTAATTACATCCTTAACTTTCAGGTATAGTATTAATTAACTTGTTACAATAGTTGGTTTCAATGCTATCCTATGCTGATTTTAGGTTTTCCCTCAAGGTATCACTATCATTTCAGATACCCTCTGATGCCCATTTTTTTGTAAATAAAAAGAAAAAAGAAAACAAACAAGAAAAATAGCTGAGCAAAGTGACGAAAAAATATTTTAACAAAAAAAATATCATTTAAACTAATAACAGACTATTTTTTTTTGGGTAAAGATATAGATATATTTTAGCGTTAATTAATTTTAATAATTTCAAAATTAATTATGTTAATTTAACATTTATATAAATGATTAATAAACAATTATGTTAATCAAAATACAATTTAATTAGCAATTTATTAATTCATGTCAAAGTATAAGTAAGAGAAATAAAGAAAGAAAGTTGAATAAAAAGTTTTTGTTTTTGTTTGCAAGTTAAGCCTTAGTCACCTTTGAATGTACATGTTTTTTTATAAAAAATTCTTGGAAAAATCTGATGAAAAAGATTTTTACTTTAAATTCTTAACTTATAATTTTAACCAGAATTACTATTTACATATATATGATTAATATATAAATTTTCTTTATAGAATTTTATGTTATATAGGCTTATAAAGAAATTGGTCAAATTCAATTTTTTATGAAATGGTTATTACTAAAAATAGAAATAATTTGTATATCACGTTATTTTATAAATTATAAAAATTATAATTTCCGCTATTATCCTTGTAGCCTTTCCAGAAACGAAATTCAAGCCCGTTCTGCCTTCTCGGCAAAACTTACAAACCTTCCTCGAAACATCACGCCACGTGACCTCCATGATATTGGTAACATAGTCGCAGCTTCTGCATGGATTATCCCTAGAGCTCGCTCAAACTACAATTATTTACAACACGCATTCTTTTACTTCACTAACAAAGAAGATGTTCAAGCTGCTATGGACATAAAGAATCTTACTTTAAACAACAAAAAATTGGAATGGACTGATCCGAAAGCTAAATTATGTGCAATTTGCTCATCAGCACACCATAATGCTTCTACTTGCATGAGACGCCGTCAGTCTCCCAAAGATCGTAATATGCAAAATCTTTACCAGAGATTCCAACCAGCCCAGTTTAATAATTACACAGCACCAAAAAGAAGTCCAATACGAGGAGCCGTCCGTGACAATATCACATTTGCCCACGTGACCAAAACCCCATAACAGATTGTCAATCCCCAAGAAGGACCAAAAAGAAGACCTCCTCCACCCCCACCACCAAAAAATAAAAATAATAATAACAATAATAATACATCTCCCCATAACCCCCTGACGAAAAACCTAAATTACATTGGGCCGATGAACCATTTGACGAGTTCATGGAAACTGAAGTCCTTCCAACACCGAATCTGAATAACGGTACAGCTACAGGAGGATTGATTCATGACCCTGACTTCAAACAATTTGTCACATCCAGACTCACTTCAATCTCCAATGCTATTTCTGACCTCTATGTCGAATTTAAATTTTCACAACAACGCCTTGCTACAGTGGAAAAAGCCCTCGATATTAAAGTTGTCACTCCTGCTGAAGCGGATGACTTTAACAATGACTTACCCGACTCAGCAATAGAAGCTGATAAGAAATCCCCACACATTAACACCGATTTTTGCACAGCTCATTTGCAAAAACAAACAAACGATCAACTCC